TGGGGAAGCCGAACTTTATGCTATTGGAAGTGGTGCGGCCGAGGCCCTATTCATTAAATCTTTGATTCTGGAAACCCTTGTGGCTCCCAAGGTGAACATCATTCTGTTTACCGATTCAACTGCAGGCAAGAGCATGGCTGTCAGATTTGGGGCATCCCGGAAAACCAAACATGTCCAATTGCGATTTCTGTTTGTCCAGGAGCTGGTTTCCTCTGGGACCCTGGTGATTAAGAAGATTCCGGGAACCCTCAACCCATCTGACATTTTAACCAAGTATGTTGCCAAGGCAATTTTGCAGAGGCATAACATCACATTAGGGATTTGCCCTTCAGGTAGTAGATAGTCAACATGATTCTGTTTCACTTAGTCAGTAGTCAAGACATTTTGCCACGAGTGAATTCGAAGCCATTTCATGCATGACTGCAACATTTGTTTTGCTCAACATTCTGACTGACATTTCGGTGTGCATTTACTTCGACCGATGCGATGGACAGCCCGCATTCCGGAATTTGACGCGACAGTATTTCCACCGGATTCTCGCAAGAGATTTGAAGATGGAGCGCACGAATTTTTCGGAATACAAGGCATTCATTACGGCCACGATGTTGTGGCAGATTCTATTCAGCGGCCAGCAACAGGAACAATTTGGGTTCCAGGATTTTATTTTCATGAACCGATTCGCGGACGATGCCTGGAGTGCGCAGATTCTGATCAGGATCATTCCAAACATTGCGGCTGGGAGTATGTCCTATACTCCATTTGAGAGGCATTTGTGGCTACAATTCCCACCAAGGGTGGAGAGATTGATTCCATTCAACCCCAATTGGAATTTGCAACATTTGAACTTTTGCATGTTGCCATTCATGCTGTATTTCACCATGCCTTCAGCAATGTGGAACCATTTGAAGAGGATTTTTGAGGGCCGTGCCAGTAACATTCCTGAGGCTATGAAGGGAACATTTGCAATTCTTGCTTCACATTGTTTCTGGAACAGTCAGTTTACTGGATTCCATTTGAGCCCGCGTTCGTCTTTGCTATTCTTTCTGTATTCATTCAGCTATGAGCGATCATTTGCACCAGAGGGTGATGCAAAGAACAGATTGATTCAGTATTTGGCGGACGCACCAGTGGTGATTGGATTCAGGCCACATTCGCAGCGATTTCTTGATTTCATGAGGCATTCATTTACTCACGTATTTGTGAGGTCTCACATTGATCCCATCATTCACTTCAAGGATTACATTTGGGATTCAAGAGACAGCTTGGCGATGCAGGAGATTTGCTCCATGGCCGGATTCAATATCAAGGCCCAGATTGGGGAATTGATGCTCGCTGCCAATTCATTGCAGCAAAGCAATTCCCATTGGTACCGGGATTACCACATGTTCATTCCCAAGACCTGGAAGACTTCATTGGACAAATTCATGGGCGACTACCAGGAGATTCCCAAGTCACTGGTAGATTCATATTACAGAGCGAAGCTGTGATTCAGCATTGGTGGAGCTGGGATTTCGATTCTGGCCAGGCACCGATTTGGATGCATTTATTCCACACTGGATTTGCATTGAGATTCTATGTTCATTGGATATCGCGATTTTGCCTGGTTCGATTTGCCACTTCATTTGTGATTCAGTTTTCGGCATTTGTGTGGAGGTACAGTTACAACATTACTGTAGATGACAGTTTACTTTTGGTTTGGATTCATCTATGACACCAATACATTGAGAGGACGTTTTCTGGTGATTCTGGAGGCGATACTCTTGGAACACATTCTGTCTGTGATTCGAGTCCACAATACATTCAACCACTTGTCCTTGTGCATTTCCCAGCATTGCAATTCTTTTGGTGATGATTAGGTCACCCGTTTTGCATAGACATTTTGCAGAGAGAAAAGATTTCAAGGCAGCTTGGCATTCTTTGGAATGCATTTGTGCTAGTGGAGTGTGGATTAATTCCACATTTTCCATTAATCCAAGGGGGCGTGCGAAAGTACACCATGCATTCCCACTTGGATGTAATTCATACTGATTACCATTGCATGGCTCAAGGCTCAAGATGACAAAGGTGCATTTGCTGCCTTGGTTGATTAGCAGAGATTAGTCTCTGATTTTCCCAGGTTGGTTGGTTGGTGGGTGGGTGGGTGGGTGGGTTGGTTGGTTGTTATTGGTGGGTGGGTGGGTGGGTGGGTGGGTTGGTGGGTTGGTGGGTTGGTGGGTTGGTGGGTTGGTGGGTTGGTGGGTTGGTGGGTTGGTGGGTTGGCGGGTTGGCGGGTTGGCGGGTTGGCGGGTTGGCGGGTTGGCGGGTTGGCGGGTTGGCGGGTTGGCGGGTTGGCGGGTTGGCGGGTTGGTGGGTTGGGGGGGGGGTTGGTGGGTTGGTGGGTTGGTGGGTGGGTGGGGGGGGTGGGTGGGTGGGTGGGTGGGTGGGTGGGTGGGTGGGTGGGTGGGTGGGTGGGTGGGTGGGTGGGTGGGTGGGTGGGTGGGTGGGTGGTGGTGGTTGGTGGGTGGGTGGGTGGGTGGGTGGGTGGGTGGGTGGGTGGGTTGGGTGGGTGGGTGGGTGGGTGGGTGGGTGGGTGAGTGCGGGTGGGTTGGGTGGGTGGGTGGGTGGGTGGGTGGGTGGGTGGGTGGGTTGGTTGGTTGGTTGGTTGGTTCGTTGGTTCGTTGGTTGGTTGGTTCGTTGGGTCGTTGGGTCGTTGGGTCGTTGGGTCGGTGGGTCGTTGGGAGGGTCGTTGGTTCGTTGGGTCGTTGGTTCGTTCGGTCGTTGGTTCGTTGGTTCGTTGGTTCGTTGGTTCGTTGGTTCGTTGGTTCGTTGGTTCCTTGGTTCCTTGGTTCCTTGGTTCCTTGGTTCCTTGGTTCCTTGGTTCCTTGGTTCCTTGGTTCCTTGGTTCCTTGGTTCGTTGGTTCCTTCGTTGGTTGGTTCGTTGGTTCGTTGGTTTGTTGGTTCGTTCGTTGGTTGGTTGGTTGGTTGGTTGGTTGGTTGGTTCGTTGGTTCGTCCGTTGGTTCGTGCGTTGGTTCGTGCGTTGGTTCGCGCGTTGGTTCGTGCGTTGGTTCGTTCGTTGGTTCGTTCGTTGGTTCGTTCGTTGGTTCGTTCGTTGTTTCGTTCGTTGGTTCGTTTGTTGTTTCGTTCGTTGGTTTGTTCGTTGGTTGCTTCATTCGTCGGTTCGTTCGTTGGTTCGTTTGCGGAGAATGTGTCGCAAGCAAAGCTAATACCAGTGTGAATGCTTCCAAGACCAAGCTCGGCAGATCCGCAGATGCACCCTCACCGCTACCATCCAATCCCTCACACGAGGAGAAGAACAGATGAGTGGGGTGGGACAGACTAAGCAGGAGGAGGCTGTCCTCTTCAAGGTGTTGGAGTAATGGAGCATGCGCGACAAGGGAACCGGCGTGTCGTAACGACTCCAGACGCCAGCCAACAAGAACCGCGGAGCTGAGCAGCAGGAGAGGCTCAGCCCCGGCTTGCAGGGCCAGAGTGTGCAAAAAAGGTGTAGGCCCGGAGGCCTGCGTGGCGAAGACGAAAGGTGTCTACGCAGACGGACGGAGAACGTGCGACCCACACCAAACATCAAGATCCAGCGAGGCGACGGAGTTAAAGTCACCCATGCAAATGCACGGGATACCCAGCTCGTCCGCCAGAACAAACTGGGCTCCTGTGGAGTTGTACAAATACATCCACTGGGGCAAGCTGGCGGATGCAGGCAGCAGCTGAAGCATGCCTGACGCAGCAACATGATTGTTTTGGCTGGACGACTGCTTGGACTGCGTGCAACAATCGGCACCTAATCCCTGAGGGGAGACACCCACTGTGTTAGCAGTCTCAGTGGCCCTGGATCTGTTTCGGTAAGAACCTGATGGAATCAGCTGGGTTGATGTATACCTCTGGGCGTCTCTGGTTATACTGTCAATACTGTAGCTTAGATGGATCACTATTGAACCCAGGGAGACTGGCCCCAGTCACCGCATACACGCCCACGACACGAACAGGACAGCCACCTGAGAGATGTATAGTGCCGGTCAGGCCACGACCACCCGGAGCACGCGCAATATCACACCAGCCAAGGATGGCACCGCGCCGAAGGTGAGAGAGGGACTGGCCCCACCAATGCCCGGTAAAGCGGGAGAGAACCATCGTATGTGCGAGAGAACGATCGTACGTGGGAGAGAACGATGGTACATGGAAGAGAACGATGGTATGTGCGAGAGAACGATGGTCTGTGGAAGAGAACGATGGTATGTGGGATAAAACGATCGTATGTGCGAGAGGACACTCATATGTGGGAGAAAACGATCGCATGTGCGACAAAATGATCATACGTGGGAGAGAATGATCGTATATGGGAGCGATCAATGGGCTAGCAAGTATTTGCGAGAGCACGATGAGCCGGCGAGAAATCATGTGCGAGACAAGGATGTGCGGGTGCGCCTGTGCGTGTATGCGGGCGAGAACGAATGTCTCAAAATGTGTTTTGGCGCGGGCTTTGCTGTGTTCGACAACAAATTCTCACATCGCGATGTGCAATGAGAAGCCTCGGAGTTGAGTGAGGCTCATTCCGAAGCGAGCACCCGATCAAAATGAACGCAAAAAAAAAAAAAAGCAATGGCCTGTGGAGAATCGCCGATTCAAATCCGGCGAGTTCATGCCATGTTCTTGTTTTTCAAGTCCGCCAAGCTGAGAACGATGGGCGAACATGCGCGAGGACATGGGGCGCGTAATTTTTCCCCAACTGACCCACCTGAACTCCCAATTCCACCGGCTCCGCGCTGCGCTCCTTAACCCCAAACATCACCCCAGGAAACTCCTTCAAAGAATTGCCGTGATTTCACCGTGGACATCTCTGAGTACCAAAACGCTCGGCTTAGCGTTCCTTTTGGCTTCCTTTCTAACTCAGCCCCCCTTTTTGGGGCACCGCACCTCAAGGAACAAAAGCTGGGAGCCATGGAAAAACGAGCCCTTCCATTGAGTCCCAGGAACGCTACCCGATCCAATCATCGAACCCTCGGACCTTGGCAAACGGCCGGCGGCGCAAGGACGCCAGCGCCAGCTGCAACTCCTCCGCGAGGTTCTTGACTTCCGCTGGAGTCCTCAGCTCTCGAGCAGATGGCTGTGGGTCAAAACCCCCCCCTGGACCCCTGATGAACATCAAAATAGGTGGCAAATGGATGTTCAGCCACCCCAAAATGGAGCCATAGGTTCTGCCCCATGGCCGAATATGACGTGGGAAGGGGAGCAAAAAAAATGTTTTAGCAGTTAAGTGAGGATTTCAACCACTAAACCACAAAAAGCAAAAATGTGAAATGTTTCCCAACAACGCAGATAAACGGTGGGCAAGAAATGGCCATGGGTCAAAATCCAAGTCGTACCCCCAGTGAGCATCCCAATCCCCTAAAATAGGCTGAAATGGGTGGTGCACCGAAAACCCCAAAATGGTACCATTGCTTTTGACCCATAGCCAAATGGGTGACGATTCCAGCAAGCTCCCAAACTCGCTTCAAGGGGAGCAAAACGCCAGACCTACCTGACAAGCGTCTTGTCTTCCTGGCAGCAAATCTGTAAGCAAGGTGGAGGGTGGGATCCTACGATTCCAAGCGATCTGAATGAAAAAGTCCTAGTCTAGGCAATATCTTTGGTCACGCTTTCGCGTCTCAACCCTTTGGATTCTTAGAGAAAGCCCGGGGCTGGTGGCAAAGCCCAGCGCAGGGTCTCGTGCAGCTTTGGAACCCAAAACGGCCCAAAGCTGCCGCCCAAAACCGAAGGTGTGGTTAACATCTTCCAACCAGTGCAGGGTGAAAGTAGGCTCTGGTCCCTCAAGTAGAAAGGATGTGGCTGTGGGTCAAGCGCAATCTGCTGGTGTCAAGACCTAAATTGGTGAGCGCAATCTACTGTCACCAAGCTCAGAAAGTTGGGACTATCCCTATGTGGCCTGCGACCTTAAAAGGGAATCATTGAGCATTGGGGAGGGCAGAAGCTATTTGCCCTTCAAAAGAAACAGACTTTCTTCCGCCAGTCAGCCCCCCCCCCCCCGTTTTCCATTAGTTTCGAGTAAGGCAGTTCTTGAGCAAATGTCAAAAAGGAGCCAAAAGTCAAGGTTTGCCTTCAAGCTGGGACACCCTCTCATCAATGAAACATGGGTGTATTAATCTGCGGGCGTTACCCCATTTCCCCCCTCACCGAGGAGGAAAACTACTTTACTTCAAGTAGTCCCCGACTGAGACATTTGCTTGGCTCAAATCAGGCTGAATCAGGAAGGGGAGCTGGCCAGAAAACATGCATGTGTGTTTGTTGCATGTGTCTGCAGATTCGCTGCATATGCGCTGCATGCGTGTTGCCTTTGTGTTGCATGTCACTTTCGCCTAAGATGTAGCTCAAGCCATACTTTGCTAGCGCCAAATTCCACGCAGGAGCTTTGTGGGACCACTGTCACGGCGATCGGAGGGGCGGATGGGGCGAGTGCGTGGGCGGGTCGGATGTCAACCCGTTAAACCTGGGATCCGCGGGAAGAACAAATCAATGGGATCCGTCATGTGAGTCGCAATCAAAGCCCGGCATCAAAATGGTCTACCCAGAACCACGCTTCAAGAATTCAGAAGGCGGATATCCGCCCTATTTATGGCAAGGGGATTGTCCCTTACTGAACAAATGGGTGTGGCTCAAAATTACACAGGAGGGGTTACGCAGGTTTCCACTTCGCAGGGTTCCATTTTGGTACCGGTTTTTCGAGCCACAAATCCATGGGATCCGTCATGTGACAACAGCCCGGCCAGCCGGAGCGCTTCAATTGCTGCTTCCGATCCAGCATTTCCACCGTGCTCTTGGAGGCACACAAGACCGCGATGCTGTGCTCCGCAGCTGTGGGCTTCAAAAAGAGGGGGAGCGCCTGCGGTTTCGCTCTTTCGGGGGTCTGTCTCAAAGCAGGTGCCTTCTGGGTCTGTCAAACCAAGCCGAAACCGAACCATTCCTAACCAACCAACAAAGCCTCAACCAACCCCAAAACATCCCGAAACCAGCCCTAAGCCATTCCTAAGTCAACTCCAAACCACCCCTAAACCAATCCAGAACCAAACATGGCCGCAATTGCCAAAAAAAACTGTCTGTTGTCCTGGGATCTGTCTCAAAATGCAACGACATACTGTTGAGCTGTAGTTTTTTGCATCACTTGGTCGGTCTCAGAATAGGGAAGCGCTTTTGCTCAAGGTAAAGCACAAGGAAAACCACCATCTTTCGGGGTCCTCTTCTGTCCCTCCCAGTGTCATTCCAGAAACCAACGAAAGCAAACTTGCTTCTGAAGCGGCTCCTCAAAAACACCCACAGTTGTGTTTGTTTTGTTTTTTTTGACATACATATAGATATACACAGTATGTGTATATATATATATATATAGGTAGGCCCCCGCCGGAAAGGAAAAAACAAGTTCCACAAAGCACTGGAAACTCGCGCAGGTTCTAACCCGCTAAATCAATCAGTGCTGCTCGATCATCTGTTGAATTTCCTTACCGCCGCAGGTTTTAGTCCTTGGTTCCATTTACCAGGCTCCCTTGGTTGACCCACAGCTACAAACATGCAGTGTCCTGCTGGTGCGATAGGCAGGGAATGGATATTGGAATGACCCGTCTACAAACCATCCCTTGTGGTTTCCTGCAAGGAAATCCCAAACGGTTCATTCAACCACATTCCCTACCTATCCCACCAGCAAGTTCTGCGTAAAACACCTGGGCCCAACAAGTAGTGCAGGTTCAAGTCAGAAATCATTCATACAACTATAACTATAAGTAACATATGCCATGCTTACATCCATGCAAGTACACACCACATACAAGCAAATGATTGCTTCTCGAATTATGCCAATAAATATGACTTTAAGAAAGGTGTACCATGCTTGCATGAGAATGACTGTGCACCCACGCTGCAGCTCGATAGTGTGCTGATTAAGCACAGCAAAAGGATGAGTAACTGAGTAACTTTAGCTGAATTGTTGACAAGAATTGAAAATGTGCTGGGATCCATCACATGTTGAGAAGCTCACACATCACAGAAGCCGGATTGTAATGTGAAGTCTCTATTTCGAGAACTCCGTGTCGCCCCCGCCACGCAAAAGCCACACTGGTCACGAAGACCAGCCTCTTGAACTGATGTTTCTGTCACAAGAAAGCTCGGTTGCAAACGCGACTTCTTGGCGCTTGCCCAGGGAAGGAAGGAAGGAAGGAAGGAAGGAAGGAAGGAAGGAAGGAAGGAAGGAAGGAAGGAAGGAAGGAAGGAAGGAAGGAAGGAAGGAAGGAAGGAAGAAAGGGTCCCAGGCCAACAGGTTGAAGTCTCGGCAACCGCCCGGGCATCGAAACCCAAAGCGAATTGGGCACTCAAAGGCAGCCTGTTGCAAACCAAGTGCGTCCATTAAAGTGACCTTCAAGGTTCTCGACATCACTGTTGGGAGTTTCGAACCCTCCGAAGCTGGTTGGGGGGGTTCCTTTTGGCTTCCCTTCGCACACAAAAAGTTTCTTGCACAATACGAAACCCTCATTAAATGGTCCACAGAAGGATGGATCAAGTTCCTTTAGAGGAAACCACAAGTGGGATCGTTCTTCTCGGGTCATTCCATGTCTCATTCCCTGCATCTCTCGCACCAGCAAGACAAAGGACATGAACTCAAACGAGAAAACCATGCCCGTTCCCTTTACAAAAAGCCCAATTGTGAAACTCCGCAAAAGGGATGGTGTTCATATGGTTCCCTCCGACTTATCTTAAGTTTAAATAAACAAATGTGTCCCTCCGACTTACCTTAAAATTAAAAAAAGTTTCCCTCCGACTTACCAAAAAAAAAGTATCAACTCAAAAAGACGCGGAGGCCGAACTGCGAAGGCCCGCACACCTGGAGGCACTGCCGCAGGTTGGCCTCCCGGAAAAGCTCTGCGCTCAGATCCAGAAACGGCAAGGCGCGGGAGGCCGCGGCTTTCCAGGCGAAGCCCTGCATGTGCAGGTGACCTCGGCACCAAAAAAGGGACCTGCAAAAGGGAAAAAACGCCCTGACCGATTTTTGTTGTTGTTGTTTAAATATATATATATATATATATGTATATGTATATATATATATGCATACAAAAAAATGCTGTTCAGTGGTTGCATTTCAACCACTCAACCATAAGCAAAATGCAAAATGTTTCCCTACAACAACCATGCTGACAGGTCATGACTGCACCATGCGAAAAGGGAAACAAGGGAACCGCCCGAACCGATCCAACTATGTTAAACTGCCTGACTTGGTTCACGTTGGAAGGGGAGCTAAAAAAAAAAATATTTGAGCAGTTGAGTGGTTGGATTTCAACCACTCCACCACAATAAGCAAAAATGTAACATGTTTCCCAAGACCCACCATGCTGACAGGTCATGACTGCACCATGCGAAAAGGGAAACAAGGGAACCCCGCGAACCAATCCAACTATGTTAAACTGCCTGACTTGGTTCACGTTGGAAGGGGAGCTAAAAAAAAATATATCGATTTGAGCAGTTGAGTGGTTGGATTTCAACCACTCCACCACAATAAGCAAAAATGTAACATGTTTCCGAAGAACCACCATGCTGACAGGTCATGACTGCACCATGCGAAAAGGGAAACAAGGGAACCCCCCGAACCAATCCAACTATGTTAAACTGCCTGACTTGGTTCACGTTGGAAGGATAGCTTTAAAAAATATATCGATTTGAGCCGTTGAGTGGTTGGATTTCAACCACTCCACCACAATAAGCAAAAATGTAACATGTTTCCGAAGAACCACCATGCTGACAGGTCATGACTGCACCATGCGAAAAGGGAAACAAGGGAACCCCCCGAACCAATCCAACTATGATAAACTGCCTGACTTGGTTCACGTTGGAAGGGGAGCAAAAAAAAAAAAAAAGAAACGATTTGAGCAGTTGAGTGGTTGGATTTCAACCACTCCACCACAACAAGCAAAAATGTAACATGTTTCCCAAGAACCACCATGCTGACAGGTCATGACTGCACCATGCGAAAAGGGAAACAAGGGAACCCCCCGAACCAATCCAACTATGTTAAACTGCCTGACTTGGTTCACGTTGGAAGGGGAGCTAAAAAAAAAAAAAAAAATCGATTTGCGCAGTTGAGTGGTTGGATTTCAACCACTCCACCACAATAAGCAAAAATGTAACATGGTTCCCAAGAACCACCATGCTGACAGGTCATGACTGCACCATGCGAAAAGGGAAACAAGGGAACCCCCCGAACCAATCCAACTATGTTAAACTGCCTGACTTGGTTCATGTTGGAAGGGGAGCTTAAACAAAAAAAAAAAAACGAGTTGAGCAGTTGAGTGGTTGGATTTCAACCACTCCACCACAATAAGCAAAAATGTAACATGTTTCCCAAGAACCACCATGCTGACAGGTCATGACTGCACCATGCGAAAAGGGAAGCAAGGGAACCCCCCGAACCAATCCAACTATGTTAAATTGCCTGACTTGGTTCACGTTGGAAGGGGACGAAAAAAAGAATCGATTTGAGCAGTTGAATGGTTGGATTTCAACCACTCCACCACAATAAGCAAAAATGTAACATGTTTCCCAAGAACCACCATGCTGACAGGTCATGCGAAAAGGGAAACAAGGGAACCCCCCGAACCAATCCAACTATGTTAAACTGCCTGACTTGGTTCACGTTGGAAGGGGAGCTAAAAAAAAATATATCGATTTGAGCAGTTGAGTGGTTGGATTTCAACCACTCCACCACAATAAGCAAAAATGTACCATGTTCCCAAGAACCACCATGCTGACAGGTCATGACTGCACCATGCGAAAAGGGAAACAAGGGAACCCCCCGAACCAATCCAACTATGTTGAACTGCCTGACTTGGTTCACGTTGGAAGGGGAGCTAAAAAAAAAAAAAAACGATTTGAGCAGTTGAGTGGTTGGATTTCAACCACTCCACCACAACAAGCAAAAATGTAACATGTTTCCCAAGAACCACCATGCTGACAGGTCATGACTGCACCATGCGAAAAGGGAAACAAGGGAACCCCCCGAACCAATCCAACTATGTTAAACTGCTTGACTTGGTTCACGTTGGAAGGGGAGCTTAAAAAAAAAAAAAAAAAAACGATTTGAGCAGTTGAGTGGTTGGATTTCAACCACTCCACCACAATAAGCAAAAATGTAACATGTTTCCCAAGAACCACCATGCTGACAGGTCATGACGGCACCACGCGAAAAGGGAAACAAGGGAACCCCCCGAACCAATCCAACTATGTTAAACTGCCTGACTTGGTTCACGTTGGAAGGGGAGCTAAAAAAAAACGAGTTGAGCAGTTGAGTGGTTGGATTTCAACCACTCCACCACAATACGCAAAAATGTAACATGTTTCCCCAAGTCATGATTCCACCACGCGAAAAGGGAAACAAGGGAACCCCCCGGACCACTCTAACTATGTTAAACTGCCTGACTTGGTTCACGTTGGAAGGGGAGCTAAAAAAAAATCGATTTGAGCAGTTGAGTGGTTGGATTTCAACCACTCCACCACAACAAGCAAAAATGTAACATGTTTCCCAAGAACCACCATGCTGACAGGTCATGACTCCACCACGCGAAAAGGGAAACAAGGGAACCCCCCGAACCAATCCAACTATGTTAAACTGCCTGACTTGGTTCACGTTGGAAGGGGAGCTAAAAAAAAACGAGATGAGCAGTTGAGTGGTTGGATTTCAACCACTCCACCACAATACGCAAAAATGTAACAGGTTTCCCAAGAACCACCATGCTGACAGGTCATGACGGCACCATGCGAAAAGGGAAACAAGGGAACCCCCCGAACCAATCCAACTATGTTAAACTGCCTGACTTGGTTCACGTTGGAAGGGGAGCTAAAAAAAAAAAAAGAAACGAAAAAAAATCGATTTGAGCAGTTGAGTGGTTGGATTTCAACCACTCCACCACAATAAGCAAAAATGTAACATGTTTCCCAAGAACCACCATGCTGACAGGTCATGACGGCACCACGCGAAAAGGGAAACAAGGGAACCCCCCGAACCAATCCAACTATGTTAAACTGCCTGACTTGGTTCACGTTGGAAGGGGAGCTAAAAAAAAATCGATTTGAGCAGTTAAGTGGTTGGATTTCAACCACTCCACCACAACAAGCAAAAATGTAACATGTTTCCCAAGAACCACCATGCTGACAGGTCATGACTGCACCATGCGAAAAGGGAAACAAGGGAACCCCCCGAACCAATCCAACTATGTTAAACTGCCTGACTTGGTTCATGTTGGAAGGGGAGCTTAAAAAAAAAAAAAAAAAAAAAACGAGTTGAGCAGTTGAGTGGTTGGATTTCAACCACTCCACCACAATAAGCAAAAATGTAACATGTTTCCCAAGAACCACCATGCTGACAGGTCATGACGGCACCACGCGAAAAGGGAAACAAGGGAACCCCCCGAACCAATCCAACTATGTTAAACTGCCTGACTTGGTTCACGTTGGAAGGGGAGCTAAAAAAAATCGATTTGAGCAGTTAAGTGGTTGGATTTCAACCACTCCACCACAACAAGCAAAAATGTAACATGTTTCCCAAGAACCACCATGCTGACAGGTCATGACTCCACCACGCGAAAAGGGAAACAAGGGAACCCCCCGAACCAATCCAACTATGTTAAACTGCCTGACTTGGTTCACGTTGGAAGGGGAGCTAAAAAAAAAACGAGTTGAGCAGTTGAGTGGTTGGATTTCAACCACTCCACCACAACAAGCAAAAATGTAACATGTTTCCCAAGAACCACCATGCTGACAGGTCATGATTCCACCACGCGAAAAAAGGGATGACAAGGGAACCCCCCGATTCAACCACCGATCTCCCCTCCAAACGCATCCAAACCAATCCGAGCAAAAGGAACTTGAAGTCTCCAAACGGACCAGCCCAACAAGGTGGACTCTGGCACTGAGTTTCTGTTGCTTGGGTGTCTTTTGTCAGGGCTTTGTTTGATGTTTGACAGGAAAACCAAAAGGAAAACCACCAGTTTTTTTTGGGGGAGGTCCCTAAAAGGACTCACCAGTTGTTGTCAACTGGGTTTCTTGCTGAATGTGGATTCACCTGGCGAGTCCCATATTCACCACCAAGTCAGAAAGCAACTTGGATCAAAAGCCAGCAGTTGACCTTAGGGAATAGGGCACTGAATGTGATGTGCGCACGTTTAACGCCCTGCTACCGTCCAGGTATTGCTAGCCGTTGGAAGATTCTGTTGGTTTCCCTTGTCGGAATTGGACCAGGGGTTGGTTGCAGACCCCCCGACAAAGCATCCACATCTACAAGGTTGCTTAAGACAAGTCCAAAAGCAATTTTGTTTATGGAGAACGGTGTGACCCATGGTCAGGATTGTTGTTGGAGAATGGGGGATCACTCATTGAAAATACGCCCCTCCAAAAAAACATGCCACCCAAGAAGGGTTTTGCAACCAACCCTGAACCCTGATGCCAGGATGCCCTTGACCTCACTGCTGACCGTCTGCAACTTGCAGAGATCCTGCGATATGGGCAAGTGGCAGGGGTTGTCTAAAAGAAACATCACAGGACAAACCTGATTCTTGCTTTCCCCCCATATTGAAAAAAAAGCGGCCACAAAAGCCCCAGTACTTCTTGAGATACAAACGGGTAGTGGCAAGTCGCAAAAGACATGTTGAGACGATCTTAGCGTCCTCCCTTGGGATAGGGCTGGGATTCGGGTTGGTTTGTAAATGTCCCAAACTCGAGTCATAGGCAAAGCGCCAAGTCGAAAGGCCCCTTGGGACCCTGAAATCGCCGAATCGACGAATCGACGCCGGAGCGCTTCGCCAAACCCGCCGAATCCAGGCATGGAACCAGGAGTCAAATTGAAAGCCACTTCGATGCGTCCTGCAGCGTCAGCCCGGCGAAAATTCCGATCCCCTCAAACGCCTGTAACGATGCCAACATCGCCTCAGAAAACCGCAAGCAAAGCCGCGAGATCAAAATTGGCAGTCGGAAATGACAAGCATCCGTCCCTGATCAAAGGGGGATGTGTTTTTGCCTGAGCATGGATATCGGACATGTTGTCAGTGCAATTTGGACAAATTGAACTCAGCCACGCGGCAACACCCGCGAAGAATCCTGGTGGAAAAGCACCTTTGAGCCGATCCACGGTGTTCGCTCAGGTCACTGCACCCAATGCGGGCCTTTCATGGCAACCGGAGGAAAACGTCAAAGAATATCTGGCCGCAAGTTGGGTGGCTGCTTTGAAAGAGGACTTGGGACTGTGGGAATGTACTTGTTGCATGTTTGTTCAGTTTTTGTTCCATGTAATTCCACCATTGGACCATGTGCATTGTTTGCGCTTGCTTTGTCTATCCAGTATGTTTGATTACTTTGAAGCGCAGCAATTGATACCCAATTTCTGTAGTTGGTAGAGAATGGTGAATCCTGTATGTATCACTTCTCGCTGTATGCTGTTTACCCATGCCAAAGTACTCATCACCTTGTTGGTTTAGAACGTTCTCAAAGCTTTGTAAGTTGTGAAGTGTTCTTCGAAAACGTGTTGGATGTGTCTTTTGTGGATCCACCCCTGTAGGATACTAAAAGAGCACTAAAAGAGTACTAAAAGACTACTAACAGAGAACCAAGGCAGGGAAGAACCGGTGAACAACAAAAAACGGTTTTCTACATTAACAGCTACAAATTCCCAGTCTGAAAGCACATATTTAGTGAGAGAGTCAACTTGCAATTTTAATAGGATTTGGGTATTGCTACTTTAGTCTTGGCATTTGTGAATGCGAGCGCGTGTTTAACATAATAGATCAGGAGCCAATACGCAAGCAATATTTAGGCAAGCACATACTCGATTTCACCATAAATACTGGTGAATTGGCCTAGGGTGCAGATTCTAGAAGGGGTACTAGCATAAATCCCCGTGAATTGAGATTATACGATATGCGAACCTTTGTGCTTGAAATCCCTTTTGTGCTAGTCTCAGTCCATATACATATAGATATATGCTCACCCCCCCCCCCAGGGCCTACCTTTTCACTTGTACAGTCTAGAAAAACTGATAATTTCAAAAGTAGGGGGTGAGCATATATATATATATATGTACATTTTTCGCTTTGTTATACACAGTTTCCTTTATATATTACTCTGCTGCTAGAAGCTCAAACCAGGTCATTCAAAGTCTCTTTTCTTCTTGTAGCTATGATGTCAGAAGCCAGTGAAATCTCTCTGGAAACGGCCCTGAATGCCACCAACGCGCTCTTCCTCAAGAACTTGTCCAAGCCCAATGTCGTGGACTTGCCTCGTGGTCCTGTCTCGCCTACTGACCTCCCTCTTGATCATTTCAAGAGCAAGGCAAAGCACTTCTTCGACTTTGTTGGCCCTCAAGTCAGCAGCGCGGCTAAGGATGGCCGCTTTGCGGACCAGCGCCCTTTCACTTCAAGACTTCTCCTGGTATGTCAGATGGTCTTCAACTTGTTGTTCTTCCTCTTCCTAATGGGCAGCACTTCCTCCTGAAGCACATCATCTTCCCGGATCAAGTTAAGGCTGAGTTCGTCTCCACCCTTTGTCATGGAGAAGTTCATACCGTTTCCTGGCAAGCCAATGCCAAGAATACCAAGAAGGCCATCCAGCACATGCTGGAGAAGATGGGTGGCTTCCAGGTCCAGTCCTTTGCTCTTCAGGCAAGTGGCAACGGTGGCACGCAGTCCGACAACAAAAACAACAACAACTTCCAGGGCCTCACAGAAGAGAACATCGACCAAGGCTTCGACTTCATCGAGGCACATGGGCCCAGAACCCACGCAGCTGAGATGGATCTCGAAGCAGTTCATCTCAGACGAGAGTCCCATTCAGACTTGGCCGGAGCGGCTTGTCAAAGAAGCTCTGCGGAACCTCATGAACGACGGTCGTTCCTTGCTTCACGGACAAAGCCTGCGGCATGCATGGAGTCCAACGTAGGCAAGACGCCTCTTGGGCGCACCATTGCGACGGCCATGTCACGTTACTGGGTTCAAAAACTGAACTCAAAGAACGAGCCCGGCTTCCGCGAGGCCTGCGAGTTCGACTTCTTCAGAGGTGAAGCTGGTCGCCAAGATCGTCCGGATATCTTTGACGATGGCTCACTGGCTGAACAGCCCATGAGGAAGTTGAAGGGCTTCTGCGACGCGGGCAACACGGTTCTCACAAAAGAAAGGTGAGGCGCCGCAAAGTTCCCGCAGGGCCAGCTGCGTCTTTATATGTCCAACGACATCGATCTTGCCGCAGAGCCCTCCTTCGAGAACGCAGGGTATTCCATTTCTCACCAGCAGTTCATGCAGATGGTTGAGCCGGCGTGGATGAAGGGTTCGTCAGTCTCTGACGTCATGGCGGTCATGAAGCGCACGTGTGTCTTGCTCATCACGAATGACTTCCTCTACTGGCGTCTTCCTAGTGAGAAAGAGGTGAGGGTTGAACGCAAGCGCCTCGATGAAAGTAAGTCTTTGTTGCGCAGCTCAGGCGGCTTGAAGTACATGCAGCACCGCAAGGGTGATCGCAGCGCGCCGGCCAACTTGGACCTTCATCTTCGCTGGGAACGAGCCTGGATGACGTCGATCATGGAGAACAAGGGTCGTGACCTGCTGCCAAGGCCAGTGGAAATCGATTACTCGGCATCGCGGAGGCTGTTTGGATCCAGCGGACCAAATACCATCCTCCAGGTGCGAGTTCCTGATCAGCAGCCACAGCCCCTTCCTGCAGAGCCTGCTCCATCCTCTACTTCAGCATTTCCGCTCCTCCAGCGCCTGCGCTCATCAAGAAAGAGCCGAACGTCTTCGCCCGTAAGTTGTCGGCCATGCACCTCACCGTCATCGACTTGGAGAGTCCGCCCAAGAAGAAACTCAAGGCTTCGGCTTTGGCTTCCCCCGCTGAGACCGAGATGGAGGAGATGGACGTGGCGTCTGAGGAAGATGTCTTTGACCACGGCGGTGACCTTCAGCGTAACAGTGGTGATGAGGCTGAGTAGACGCGGTGCCGGATAGGAAAGCAGTAAGCAGTTTTGTAAGCGCGCAAGTTCGAAAAGGCCGATGCATTTGTCACTTGTCTGCTTTTGCCTCCAGGTATTGCATCACTGCGCACGCTCATTCTGACAGCATCTTGGCCCTGAGTCAGTGTAGCCACTCTTTGTTTTTGTAGCGTCATGCCTAAAACTAGACCACGGTTGGCCCGAAAGCAGAACATCGCAAGCGAGGTCGGCCCAACGCTGCAGGATGCGTTCTTTTTCCCTACACGAAGCATTTGTGAAGCAAGCGCGAGACAGCACCAGGCAAGGTGCTCTGCGCAAACTGGTCGGTGCAAGTTGGTCTGCGCAAGTTGCTCTACGCAAGTTGCACTGTGCAAGTTGCTCTGCGCAAGTTGCTCCGCGCAAGTTGCTCCGGCAAGTTGGTCCCTGCAAGTGGCTCCCTGCAAGTTGCTCTGTGCAAATTGCGCTCCCTGCAAGTTGCTCTGTGCAAGCTGCTCTGTGCAAGTTGCTCTGTGCAAGTTGCTCTGCGTAAGTTGCTCTGCGCAAGTTGCTCTAGGCAAGGCGCTCTGCGCAAACTGGTCGGTGCAAGTTGGTCTGCGCAAGTTGCTCTGTGCAACTTGCTCTGCGCAAGTTGCTCTGCGCAAGTTGCTTTAAAATGCAAGTTGCATCTTGCGACGCCCGCCCGCGGACCAGGGAGGAATCGAACCCGCGACCCGCCGGTTCCGGGAGCAGGCGCGCGAACCACGAGACAACTCCCGAGGACCAGTTCGAACAACAAAAGTCGCAAAAACCTCGAGTTTTTGCACCTCGACCACGCCGATCCCCGCAGAGGGTTGCGCGAGCACCGCAGAAATCGCAAAAAACCTTGAGTTTTTGCACCTCGACCACGCCGATCCCCGCAGAGGGTCGCGCGAGCAGGTTAGAAATCGCAAAAAACCATGGGTTTTTGCACCTCGACCACGCCGATCCCCGCAGAGGGTCGCGCGAGCAGGTTAAACATCGCAAAAAACCATGAGTTTTTGCACCTCGACCACGCCGATCCCCGCAGAGGGTCGCGCGGGAACTGTAGAAATCGCAAAAAACCATGGGTTTTTGCACCTCGACCACGCCGATCCCCGCAGAGGGTCGATTTTCGTGTAGTGTCGTCGGCACTACCCCGCCGCCCTAAGAAGAGATTTTAACTCCTCGCAAGTCAATTGCACTTGACTCCTTGCACTTGCAACTTGCACTTGACTCCTTGCTTGTTTCAAGGAGTCATTGCAAGGAGTCATTGCAAGGAGTCATTGCAAGGAGTCATTGCAAGGAGTCATGGCAAGGAGTCATTGCAAGGAGTCATTGCAAGGAGTCATTGCAAGGAGTCATTGCAAGGAGTCATTGCAAGGAGTCATTGCAAGGAGTCATTGCAAGGAGTCATTGCAAGGAGTCCATGAGAGCCATTGCAAGTTGCAAGGAGCCAAGTGCATGGAGTCAAGTGCAAGTCGCAAGTGCACGGAGTTAAGTGCAAGTTGCAAGTGCAAGGAGCCAAGTGCAAGGAGCCAAGTGCATGGAGTCAAGTGCAAGTTGCAAGTGCATGGAGTCAAGTGCAAGTTGCAAGTGCAAGGAGTCAAGTGCAAGTTGCAAGTGCAAGGAGTCAAGTGCAAGTTGCAATCCTTGCCATGACTCCTTGCAATGACTCCTTGCAATGACTCCTTGCAATGACTCCTTGCAATGACTCCTTGCAATGACTCCTTGCAATGACTCCTTGCAATGACTCCTTGCAATGACTCCTTGCAATGACTCCTTGCAATGACTCCTTGCAATGACTCCTTGCAATGACTCCTTGCAATGACTCCTTGCAATGACTCCTTGCAATGACTCCTTGCATGACTCCTTGCAACTCCTTGCAATGACTCCTTGCAATGACTCCTTGCAATGACTCCTTGCAATGACTCCTTGCAATGACTCCTTGCAATGACTTTCATGATGATGATTCCTTGCAATGACACCTTGTAATGACTCTCATGAGAACAACTCAAGTGAACCCAGCGGAAGAACCCTTCGCCATGCTTTCGGGAAAAGTCATGAAGCATGCGATCAAGCGTCAAGCGCCTTGGCCTGAGCCAAAGAGAGGCAAATCGCGCGCCAACAAGCGCCAGCAAGTACGAAGGCTCACGCGGTCAAGAC